TTAATGTGTGTTTTTATGGATTTTCCATTTTGGACATTTTGTGTAAATAGAATCCTACAATTTGTAGTTTTACCTTTCTGGCTTCTTTCACTTAGCATAATGTTTTCAAGGATCATCCACATCGTAGCATTATCAATATTTAATATGTTTAAATGAACAAATAATACTTTTATGGATAGACTATATTTTGTGTATCCCTCCCTCACTGATGAACATTTTGGCTTATTTTCACATTTTGGCCATTATAAATAGTGTTGTTAGGAATACTGTTTATGCAGTTTTGTGTAATTGTATGATTTTTACTCTCTTGGGTACATACCTGTAAGTTGAATGCCTGGGAATATTGCCAAGCAGATTTCCGAAATAACCGTACTATTTTTCACTTCTATCAGTGATATCTAAGAGTTCCAATGTCTCCACATTGTTGTGGACCTTTGCTATTTTCTTCTTTAAAAAATTTTTATTACAGCATCTTAGTGTGTGAAATTGAATCTCATTTTTTGGTTTCAGTTTGAAGGACTTAACATTGAGGGCCCCTTCATGTGCCTATTGGCCCATTGTGAACCTTCCTAGGAAAGTTTGAATTCAATTCCTTTGCTCATTTTAAAAATAGGCTGTCTTTTTGTTATTATATTTTAAGTGTTCTTTATGTATTCAGAACATTTGTCTATTAAGTTTGGATCTTACAAGTTCCCCAAATAGTTGTCTTTTGAAAGCTGGTCCCCAGGTGATGGTGTTATTTGGGAGTGATGGAAACTCTAGGAACTGGGGACTGGCTGGAGGCAGGTCATTAGGATGATGCCTTTGAAAGGCAGATTGTGTTCCTCAGCCTCTGTGTCTCTCACAGAGAGATTGTGTCTCTCTGCCTCCTGACCACCTTGAGGTAACCTGCTTTCTCTGTAACACTTTCCACCTCCTGACATGATGTTCTCCCTTACCACGGGCCAGAAAGCAATGGTGTTAAATGACCATGGATTTAAACCTCTGACACCATGAGCCAAAGTAAATATTTCTTCCTTAGTTGTTTATTTCAGGTAACGTTAGAGTGACAAAAAGCTGCCCAACACAATGCCTCTGATTGGATACCTGATTTGCAAATATTCTCTTCAGTCCTGTGGATTCTTTTTATTTTATTCATAGTGTTTTTTGAAGTGCAAAAGTTTTTAACTTTGACAGAGTCCAATTTATTTTGTTTTCTGTTGCTTGTGTTTTTGTGCCATTTCTTACAATCCACTGTCAAGGTCATAAAGATTTACATTTGTATTTTCTTCCAGGTTTATATTTTTCGTTGTTCCATATAGGTCTTTGATCTATTTTGAGTTAATTTTTGTACACAGTGTGAGGCAAGGGTCATTCATTGTTTTGTATGTGGCAATGTCCCAGCATTATTAACAAGAAGACTCATGTTTACTCAATGAACAGTAGTGGCACAGTGGAAAATCAGTGTATCTATACACTCAGTTGTAGTCCATTAGCATATGTCTACTTTTATGCCACCCTTGATTATGGAGATTTTGTAATATATTTTGAAACTTTAAAATGGGAATCTTCAAAGTTTATTGTTTCTCAAAGTTGTTTTGGCTATTTTGAGTTCTTCATATTTCCATATGAATTTTGGTATCATTTTGGCAGTTTTTGCAAGAAATGTAGCTGAGGTTTTATGCGGATTGTACTGAGTCTATAGCTAAATTTGTGGAGTGCTGTTATTTTAAAAATGTTAAGTCAGTGCTGGTGTGGTGGTACATACCTGTAATCCAAGCACTCTGAAAGGCTGAAGCATGAGAATCACAAATTCTAGTGACTTAGTAAACCCTGTCTCAAATATTGAAGTGTTACTTAGTGTCAAGGCCCTGGGTTTAATCTCTAGTATCACAAAGTGAATGATGAATGAATGAATGAATGTGAAATGAAATGTCTTTTCATGAATGTGAAATGTCATTCCATTTATTTAGGTCTTCTTTAATTCAACAATTTTTTTTTGTTTTCACTTTATCTTTTGTACTTTTTCTATGAAGTTTGTTTTCAAACACAGTTTTTTGATGCTGTTGTCAACGGCGTTGTTTTCTTAACCTTACTTTCACACAGTTTATTGCCAATGTACAGATGTATAGTTTTTTTTATATTTCTGTACTCTGCAACTTTGCTAAAATATGTATTGGTGACTCTCAGTATTTTTAGGCAAGATCATGCTGTTGGTGAAACATAGGCTTTTAATTTCCATGAGATTTTTGCCAGCGTGGGTCCTGTGCACCTCTGACTGCTTTATTATCTCAAAGTGGCTGACTTTCAGGAGAGTAATTTTCGTCACTTGTAAGATGACAATAATCCAAAAATCTAGAATTACTGTGGAGAATACTAGTCAAATGATTATCACATTAATGACTTCATACATGAATTATAAGTAACAAACCTTTAAAGCTAAAAATAAATGGGTCATTCTCGAATCACTTTTTAAAGCTTTCTCACTTTTGAGTGTTTTTAGTTAGCTGAGAAAAGAATACGTTAGGTAGCATGAAGTTATTCAGCGTGATTAGAACCTTAGGAAGTAAAACTTCAAACGATAGACGTAAATGTTGTGTAAATGTTTTGTTAGCCACAAGAAAAATAAGGAAGAACTTTTGCTGTGGAATGCTAAGATCAACAGAGAACAGAATATATAAAAAGAGTAAGGAATTAGGAATGGTGAAAAAAGTCAGAGATTATCATTAAGAGAAAGGCTATTAGTAAAAAGATAAGGGAATCAATAAGAAATTGATGAGAAGCTTTCCAGACAATGTCTGGGAGGATAAGAAGGAAGGAGTGTACTTTAGAAATATTTAGTAGAAGGACACAAATCATAACTTCAGTTTTTGGATTGTAAGCCATTAATAAAATAGGGATTGCAAGAGAAGAATGCTTGAGGAAAATGATGGTTTCATTTTTCAAAATATCTCTTCAGATACCTGGAGAAGATCCAAGTAGACATGTTAATAGGTGACAGAAAATCATTTGGAAAATTAGAAGAGAAATTTGAAGATTTGATATATAGAATTATATGTTAGACCCTTGACTTATGAACTCCATTTGTTAACAAGGGCTGGGTGTAACTCAAGTTGGCCAATTGAAGGCTCAGGCTCCCCTGCACAGTCTCTCTCCTGTACACAGGCAGATCTCAGGGTCCTTAGAGGGACACTGGCCCAGGATTTCTCAATTAACCCCGCACGAGAAATTATATTGTAATGTTCCTTCCAGAACTCTGGAAGGGTTAAATCTGAATCTGAGACCATCTGAAAGCACAAGCGGCCAGCATTCAGGTCATAACTCAAGACTTTGATCGTAAGTTAAAACTAAAATTCCAGTTATAACCCGAGTTGTTTGTATGTCAGGCTGATCATAACTCGAGGGTCTACTGTACTTTAGTGTCGATCCTGTGGTTCATAATTATCATAATTTTCCTGTATATTTCCTCAACTCTCTCAACCCTCCTCTCTTCTTCCCTTCCTCTGGCCTCCCCACCTTCCAACCCCATCCGCATGTTCTACAAAACAAAGCCCATCTCTATAACCCCAAAACTCTGTCTTCCTCACATCTATACCTGAGATTTCCTTCACCTTTGACCTTTCTTTAGCTGTGACCTAAACTGATTGCTTTCTGGAGCTATAGGATACCTGTTGTTCGGAATTTGTATTTGCTTTCTTCTTTGTTTGTTCATTTATTTGAGATGGTCTTACTTTGTAATACAGGCTGACCTGGAACTCCCAGCAATCCTCCTGCCTCAGCCTCCTGAGTTCTGGGATTACAGGCATGTACCACCACACCTGGTTTGAACTGCTATTTCTTGGGTCATTATAATGTTCTTTCTTGACTGCAGGTAATAAGTACATTTTTGCTTATGTGAGAATGACTACTTTGACATCAGAACAATTTGATTCAGGTTACAAACCTAGGCTGAATGTCTGTTCAGGCATTTTGAAAGCATTTTAAGGTTATAGGTGGAAAACCTGACAACGTGGTCTCCTATTTTGTTGCTGATGACCTGTGGCTCTTCATGGAAGAACTACATTAGGTTGCTTTTTTTTTTTTTTTTTTTCGAGACAGGGTCTCACAATTTAGTTGAGACTGACCTGGAACTCACTATGTAGTCCAGGCTGGTCTTGAACTCCTAGAGATCCTCCTGCCTCAGCCTCCCAAGTGCTGGGATTACAGGGGTGCGCCACTACACCCAGCTAGGTTGCTTTATTTAATGTTTGTTTTTTTACATTTTATAATAACATTTAAATCTTTTATAATGTGTTCTTTTGGCCATTTTGTGAGTTCTTTCAAACTGAAAGCATATTTCTGATGGTTTTAGGAAATCATAATGAATTCATTTGATAATACTGTATCTTTCCTTTGGTTTACACATTTATCTTTTCCTAAAACTCCTAGTATGGAGAAAAGACAGCTGTGACTAAACTAATTTCCTTTTCTCTCCTATTGTCTTTTTTTTTATAATCTCTGAAAATTTATTTTCATTTATCCTTCATTTATTCAATTGGTTTTTCCATGTAATTAATTTTTTAAATATTAAAATTTTCATTTAAAAAAATTTCCTCACCGGGGATTTAGCTCAGTGGTTCTGCTGCCTGCCTCACGAGCACAGGGACACAAGTTCAATCCCCGGTACCAAAAAAGAAAAAAATTTTTTTGGTTTAAAAATTAATAGCATTCTCTTACTTCTTGTGAATATAATATTTTATCCTTTCACTCTTAGTTCATTATTAAGGAGTGGTTATTTTCCTTCTTATATTACCTATAATTTCCAACCTCTTTTCTGTTTACCATCCCTGACATTCATGCTTAGACTACCTTCATTTTGTCATGTGTGATATTTATAAAACAGCATATTTCACATTTTTATAAAATCAGTAATTTTAGTTTCTTTAGAAAAGTGGAAAAACAGTTTTCTGTGCATGAGCAGTGCCCATCTGAGCCCGCCAGCCACAGTCTCCGGCGCCAGCTATGCCGTTGTCCCTGTCACTATGGCCCATTACAAAGCTGCCACAAAGCGTGAGCAGTTTCGGAGGTACTTGGAGAAGTCGGGGGTGCTGGACATGCTGACCAAAGTGTTGGTAGCCTTATATGAAGAACCAGAGAAACCTAATAGTGCTTTGGATTTTTTAAAGCATCCCTTAGGAGTTGCTACCCCAGAAAACCCAGAAATTGAGCTGCTTTGCCTAGAATTGGCAGAAATGAAAGAGAAATATGAAGCCACTATAGAAGAAAATAAAAAACTGAAAGCAAAGCTTGCTCAGAATGAACCACCTCAGGAGGAGAAGTGTGCTGAATAGGATTTTTCTCAGAGGAAAAGACATTGAAAAATGGTTTTGTAACTGGAATAGTTTGTATAATATATAATCCTTTCTGAACAGATGCTATAAAACTTTTAATATGTTAAATTCACCTATCACACTTTAAATGTTATAAACACTTATAATCACCAATAAAAACTCAATATAACTTTCTTTGGGTCTTAAAGCAGGAGAATCCAAAGTAAATCCTGAAGGAAACCTAAATAGCCATCTAATTCATTAAAAGATGTTCTATTTCTTAGTCTGATTTGAAGTAATAGTACTGGTTGTATTTTACCCAAGGAGGTTTAGCATGGAGCTTTTCCTTGGTTTAGTTCAGGATATGAGCACAGGTACAATCATGCATTACAATGAAGATGAGTGTTTACAGTCCCTGTAGGCAACTGGAAAAATCCGTGTGACACATGATGCTTTTGCACGGGTTCCCATGAATTTTCTGGTCTTGTTTATATAACGAGGAATAAGTAACTCTTCTTTGCCACCCCTTTGCCTTAGATAAGTACATGTGTGCCAGTTTGAACTCTGACACCGCTTTTTCTTCTATGCAATGAGGCCCTATCTGATAATGTGGCCTTGCTTTGCTATGTACTTTAGTGGGTCCTAGTTGCCTGTTAGCCTTTGTGTGTTGTTCATTTTGCTTAATAATGCAGATTCCTTGATTTTAATTTATATAACTTTAAACAGGATCGCACTGTTACCCTGCCTTACCTAGTTGCTCAGTTAGTACATAGAGAGGTAACATAGCGTTCTGGGTTCATGCACAAGCTGGAGGAGAAGGGGCTGAGCATTTATCATGGACAATTATAGTTCATGGGTATAATCATAGTGCTTTTTTTCCCTCAAAGTATTTTTCTAGCCTTGAATTCATTTTATCTTCCTTATCCCTGTGAAGTAGGTGGGGCATATATGAGGGGAGGCTGGGTGCTGAATCTTTAGGCCAAAGACTGATACTAATACAAATTATTTCCTAACTGTAGAATTTTGGGCACGTCGGTTAACCTCTCTGAGATTTACTTTCCTCATCTGTTAAACGAGAAGAGCATCTGTGCAGCCTACCTCACAGGGTTGTTGTGAGGGTCAAATGAGACTGTACATGAAAGATTTGTAAATGATACAGCACTAAAAAGAAAAGAAAGCTTGAAAAACCCAGCAAACCTTGGGCCACAACATTGCTAGTTGCTAGTGACTGTTGCTTTTAGATGAGCCATGCACATATCTTTCTGTCACCCTCTATTTGTTTGTCTCTGAGACCCTGTGGGTGTTTAGGTGGATCACCCCTGAGTCTTCTCTGTCATTTGTGTCTCCATCCTACTCAGAAATCCCTTACTTTATACTTCTGAAAACATGACTTATATTTGAAAATATCTACACGTGTTGTTTTGCTTTTATAAAATTCTCCTCTGTCATCAAATCCTTTAGTAATGTTCTTTTAACAGGACAGAGAGAACAAGTTTTATGACTACTGACAATCCACTAAAGATAGGTTATTATTCGATATACTCCCGACACTCATTAGTAGGAATAATTTAGAGTGCTTTATCTCATAAATCTACTATTGTGCAAATGAAAGAAAATTTAAAGATTTTTGTTTCTCATATATCATTTTGTGAGGGTTGAGTCACCTGAATACTAAAGATAAGGTTCTCTTTTTATAGGTGGACCCTATGACTTAATTACATGTTGAAAACTTGGTGCTGATATTAACAGGACAAATGATTGTTTTGGTTTTGTAAACACGTACTAATAAAAATAAAACCAATTATCTCATTGCTCAGGCCAAAGACGCAAAAAGTATCCCTGGTTGTCCTCTGCCACACAATTCATCAGCAAGCCTGTGTGGTTCTGTCTTTGCATATGGACCGCAGCCACTGCCAGTCCTGTGTTCCAAAGCATCATCGCTGGCCTGATGTGCTCAGTGGGCCCTGCAGCACATTTTCCTGCGTCACTTCTTCCCTTACAAAATTGGTCTGCACGGCAGCCAGAGTGGGCTCTTTAAACCTGAGTGAGGTCTCCTCATTCCTCGCCCACTGGCTTTCTTTGAGATGAAATCCACTTACTTACAACGATTCAATGCACTCTCGTGGTACACCTTTGCTTGTATCTCCAGCACAGACTGTCACTCACCTCCCGTCCCAACCCACGTCAGTCCTGTTGGTTTTCCTGCCGTTCCTTAACAGTCGTGCTCACTCTTACCGCAGGGTTTGTCACTGGTTCTTTCTTTTATCTGGAAACCCATCAACCTAGATCCAAGATAAACCCTCTCACTGTTTTCAGGACTTGGCTCAAAGACAAGATCGTCAGGACAGAACATAAAAGTCCGAGACACCAGGTAGAACTAAATTTCAGATAAGCAATGAATCTTATTCCTCCTATTTGCATCCTCGACATGCTACTATAGATTGCATAGGACATACTTATATGAAAAAATGTATCATTTATTGTAATTAAAATTTAACTGGTCATCCTGTATTTTTGTCTGATTGCCTTGCAATTCCTTTCTCATAGAGGCCTTCCCTGTGACCAAAGGGGGAAAAGAACAAAACACTTCTCTTGCCCTGTCACTAATTTCCTTTGTTTTTCTTCCAGGCAATTCTACATTTCTTGAGATTGCATTTACTTTTTATATGTATAGGAAAATATTTGTACAGCTTTTTAAATGCAGGCTGTACAAAGACAGAAAATTTATCTGTATTTGGTGCTCCATACATAGTAGATGATCAGGATAAATATATAGATTCTTCATCATTGTCACTGTCGCGTGCTTATTATGGCAGTGAACATCACTGGCCCATTATATCTGTTACTCAGTTAATTGCCACAACAAACCTCTGATACAGACACTGTTGCAATAAACACCCTCATATGATAGAAGAGGTAAACGAAGCCCTCCACAGAGAACAAAGATGCAAAAACACAAATAACACAAGAAAAGAGTAAATGTAATTGGGGAAATATTGAATGTAGGAGATGAGTATTTCTTCTCCTGAATTTATTCATAGATACGCTATTAAAGTGCAAAGATTTCCAAGATACATGCTTGTTGATAAAAGTAGATCGAAGAAAATGAGTATCATATAATTTTTATAAGTGAATGGGGAAAATCACTATTGTATACTCATACTTTTATCTTCATAAAGAAACTGAACAGGTACGTAACAAGAAACTCATCAAAGTTCTACATGGGTGAGGGGAGGGCTTTCCACTGTATCTGTTTAACAAAAAATAATCAAATGTGTTACCAAATCAAAACATTAAAAATAATGCTAGCATGCTATATTTTGTAGATAGTCACTTCTGTGGTGAAAAAAGCTTGCTTTCAACCTCAACCAAAGAAAATTCCACTAGTTCTGCTACAAAGCTGCCTTGGTTGGGAAGCCATATGGTTTTGATCAAACAAATCTCTCGATGATTTTCCTAAGCCTTTCATCACCTATTGATTCCGAGAAAAAAATCCCTTTTGACATCATCGTCCACATTTGAGCCCCCTCCTTACTGCTAGCTTGGTTTCCTTTCTCAGTCTCTGGGGCAATTCGCTTCCAGGATGAAGCAGAGTTTTGTTTCAGAGATAACATAGGAAAATTATTAAGTAAATCTGATGCATCATTTATATCTTCTTCTGCCCCTCACTTTCTGAATTGATAGTTCTATATTTGATTTATTTTAAAAAAAGAATATAAATGTTTCCAGGCTTTTTACTTGGAAACTGGCTTTTATGACAGTTTTACTTATTTAACCATCTTTTCTAGTCCACAAAAAAGAAACAAAATAGATTTGAACAGGTTTTAACAAACGCAATTGTCCATTTCTGGAGCTATTGCAATTTGTATTTTTCTCCCCAATTCTACTTGACTAATGTCTGTAATTTATTCAGGATGACTTGTCGTTCTCATGAATTTTAGCAAAAATTCTATTTATATTCTTTCATTTTAGTTTATCAATATGTTGTTAAGTTGAATTCAGATTGCATAATTTATTGTCTTTACTTTTCCTTTTCCTTTCCAGTAAGTGGTTAGATTTTATTATTATTAATCTCTGAAACATCACTGTACTGCCATTAGAAAGGTTTCAGAGAGGCTTCAGGACCTTGGGATGGTCATGGAGTTTACTTTCTGTAGATGAAACCAAAAAATCACAGGAAACAAATGCAAAATGAGACAAATGGCACTCAACCAAACTAAAAATCTACACAGTGCAAAACACTCAACAGAGAGCAGGGACAACCTACAAAGTTGGAGAAACTACTTGCAATGTGCTTACTTAAAAAGAGATTGAAATCCAGAGTGTATAAGGAATTCTAAAAACTCAACATCAAAATCAATAATCTTGATTAAAAATAAGGAATAGATCTAAACAGATATTTCTCAATAGAAAGCATACAAATGGCCAACAGGTACATGAAATAAGGTTCAATATTACTAAGCATCAGGAAATGCAAATCAAAACCTCAATGAGATGCCATCTCACCTTGGTAAGAAGGATACATACATATGTATCTATACCATACACACACATATAGGCACATATTCACATGTGTATGAGTGCACATGCGCACTTATATACATATGTGTGTATGCATGTGTGTGTGTGTGTGTGGAATATTTGCATACTACAAATAAGTGCTACTGAGGAATCAGAGGAAAGGGAGTACTTGTGCACTGTTGGTGGGAATGTACATTAATATGACTATTATGAAAAACAGGATGAATTTTCCTTAAAAAAATTCAATTTAAGACTGAGTTGTAGCTCAGTGTTAGAGTATGTGCTTACCATAACCAAAGTCTTCAATTTAATTCCCAGAACCAAATAATGAGATGTAGAACTTCTGTATTACCCAGTAATCCCACTACCGGCTCTGTATCCAAAAGAAAAGAAATTAGTGTGTCCAAAAAGACATCTGCATTCCAACACATATTGCAGTGTAATTCACAGTCACTAAGAAATGGAAACAACCCAGGTGACCCTCAAATGCTAAATGGCTA